ATATTTGTGCATACATGAGTAGGTGCATGTATACATATGTATTTGTTGTGTTGTGTCTATATGAATATACATCCTCACATACATATGTATGCGTGACCAAATAATAGCACAGTCTAGTTCAAAGAGCCATGGACGTGCGGTATGGGTGGCCTTGGTTTTGAGCCAGAGCTCTCTCATATTTTCTGCTTGCCAGACTCTGATTGAGTCATTGACCACTCTGGGGCAGAGGCTGGCAAACTATGGTCTGTGGGCCAAATGTAGCCTGCCACCTGGTTCTGTACTGCCCAAGAATTAAGGATGGTTTTTATGTTTTAAAATACAACAAAACTTTATTTTAATTAAAAAAAAAACTAAACCAAAAACCAAAAATAAAACAAACCCATTCTTAGCTCAAGCTCTATACAAATCGGGTGACAGGCCAGGTTTGGCCTGCAGGGCCCTAGTTTGCCAACCCCTACTCTGGGCACTGGGTTTTGTTACTGAGAGGCTTAGACTAGATGGGCCATGAGGTTTTTTGTAGCTTTGAATCTAGGATCTTCCTCATTGTATACCCAGGATGAGGCCAAGCAGGGCTAATGGGCCCACCCAAAAACATAGTATGGGGGAGAGCCTGACCCTGACACAAAGCCCCAAGGGAAGACCTAACGCTGGAGAGAGAAGGAAATCAAAGAAACAGTGACCAGTATCAAATAGCATTACAAATCTATAACTATGTGCCCCGCCTTATCCCACATATAAAGAAGGAGGGAATAACTCTATAACACCTGTAAGCATAATACCTCAAAGGAAAAAGGGGTTTTCCCAAAGGACTACATGAATGCTTAAGACAAATAAAGCCAGAAATTAATTTTTTTTATGCTTTGGATGAAAGAATTGGAAGAAGAATAAATAGCTTAGAAGAGAAAGCGACAAACTTTACCCCAAAAATGGATTCCCTGAAAATCAGAATAGGCCAATCAGAAATCAATGATTCCATGAGAAAGTAAGAATCTTAGAACAAAATCAAGAGTTAAAATAGATATCTGATATGTACATAAAGTATGCACTATAATCAAACTGTATACATAGCAGAGATGTAGGAATGGCCAACATTAGGAAAGTATTAGCATAATTAATTATATAATTACCCCAAACAAAAACCACATAAATATTGGATGTTCTGTAAGCATCTCAAACTCAACATGTTCAAAACTGAACTCATGATCTCGTCCCCCAAACCTTCCCTGCTTCTAAAACTCCCTCTTAATGTGAAGGGTACCACAATCTCCTAGTCCCCCAGACCTACAATCTTGCTGACATTCCTGACTCCACTTTCAAGCTCACTACCCACATTCAATATGTCTTGTCCCTTTGACCTTCCCACCATGGCTCATATATGTCCTTTTCTCTCCACCAGGAATAGACTTGCATCACCTCACTCTTACACTATGGCATGGCCTTCTGGCTGATCTCCCTGAGTCCCTCATTCACTCAGGTGTCAAAGTGACTTTCTAAAGTGCCAATCTGATCACATCAGCACTTTATTCAATAATCTTCACTGGCTCCCAATTACCCTTACAATTAAATAGACTCAATCTTTCTGGCTTTTAAAGCCCTTTACAATCTACTCCTTCCTACATTTCCAATCTTCTTATAATTTACTCCCCTCTGCATATTCTATGATCCAGTGACTGGCCTTTGTGCTGCTCCTTGCAGCACTCCATCACTCCATTTCTGTGCTTAACACAGTGCCTGGCACATGGCAGGTATTTAAAAATGTTTACTCATTGAATGATTCATCTCCCAACTCTGCACCTTTCATTGACTGACCCCTAAGCCTGGAATGTTCTCTCCTCACTTCTTGGATTCCCTGGCCTCCTTCAAGACTCAGGTCAAATCCTACCTTCTGAGGGAGGCCTTTCCTGGGCCCTCTCACTGCTAATGCCTTATCTCTGAGATCAGCTTCTATACTTACACAGTTGTTTACATGGTGTCTCCCCAATTACACTATGAGCTCCTTCAAAGAAAGGGCTGTATTTTTGTCTTTCTTTGTATCCCCAGAGCTTAGCACAGTGCCTGGCAGATGGCAAGCACTTAATAAATGGATGTTGACTGGTTATAGCAAGAAATTTAAAAAAATCTTATACAAAACATAGCACTTGTTTGTGTTGAAAATCCTAAAAAGCATAATCATGAAGGACCCTTCATCAATAAGATCAAAGGCATATATCTGATGGAAAGAGCCAGCATTTTTTTCCCCGGTACAGAAATGCTGGAAGCTTTCCCAGTAAATGTAGAGGCAAGGCAAGTATGTCTCCTTTCTACGCTGTGATTTCACATAGTACTAGAAACATTACGCAAAGCAATAAGACAAAAGAGAAATTAAAGCAAGAAATATTAGCAAAGAGGAAGCAGAGAGATGATAGGAGCATTTTCTTAGAAAATCCTAGGTAATCAGCAAGGAAATTAAATACTATGATAATAGGTTGGGTAAAGTACTGGGATACCAAGCACATTTAAATAACCAGTATTTCTGCATATTATACATAAAAATGAGGAAGAAATGACAGAAAAAGAAATTCCACTCAAAGTAACTAACAAAATACTTCCTCAAGATTTAGAGCTGGAAATAATCCCAGATGTTATGTCATCTACTATTCCCCTCGTTTTCTAGAAGACGACATATACCTAGAATGACTTGCTCAGGGTCATATAGGTAGTAAAAATGTCAGGTCAGTCAGTCAATCAGTTAGTTAGTCAGTCAACATTTATTAAGTGGCTACAATGTGACAGGCAGTGTGCTAAGTGCTAGGATACAAATATAAAATTTGAAACAAAGTCTTTTGACTCTACATTCATTGTTTTTTCTACTATACCATGTTGCTGGGTGCTAGCACATGCTATGACACATTTTGGACTTACATAGAAATAAAGGAAGACCTAGATAATTGCAAAGATATTTAATATTCATGGCTGAGCTGTAGCAATACAATAAAAATGACAATGTTGTAATTCAGTCATGTCTGACTCTTCATGAGCCCTTTTAAGGCTTTCTTGGCAAAGATACTGGAGTGGTTTGCGCTCATTTTACAAATGAGAACTGAAGCAAACAGGTTTGGTGACTTGCCCAGAGCCACACAGCTAGTAAATTTCTGAGACAGGATTTGAATTCACAAAGAGTTCAACTTCTTAACTCCAGGATCCGCACTCTATCCACTGTACCACCTAGCTGCCCAAAATGACAATACTAACTGAATAAATCTACAGATTTAGTACTTTACCAATGCAACTACTAAAGGTTATATTTTATGGAGACAAAATAATAAAATTCACTTGGGGAAATAAAAGGTCAAGAATGCTAAGGGAAGGGCAACTAGGTGGCACAGTGGATAGAGCACTGGCCCTGGATACAGGAGGACCTGAGTTCAAATCCAGCCTCAGACACATAACACTTACTAGCTGTGTGACCCTGGGCAAGTCACTTAACCCCATTGCTTAGCCAAAAAAAGAAAAAAGAAAACAAATGCTGAGGGAAATAAATAATTGAGGTTAAAAGGGAACGAAGGGCACCTTGCATTACCAAATCTCAAAATTATATCATAAAGCATTAGTCATCATAACTACTTGGTGCTAGTTAAAAAATAAAAACATATCATGATTACAGACAACATAAGCAAGAAATAGAAGCATCAACTCAGGCCCATGTGCTACTGAAGGAAGGAGGGTTCTCTCGGACCAGAGCTGCTGGGAAAGTTGGAAAGCAATTTGGTAGAAATAGTAGTCTGCTACCACATGTCAAGCAAGCAAGTACTTCTTAAGCATTGACTATATTCCAGGCACCGAACTCATGCTGGGTATATGAAGACAAAAATGAAACAGCCCTTTCCCTCAAGAAGCTTACATTCTATGTTAAGAAATACCTTGCACAGGCCTAATTATATGATTTAGGCCTTCTTCACTGTTCTCTCTACATGCTCCTGGTGGATGACCTCTTCAGCTCTCCTATGCTGTGCTCATTCAGTATACTCTGACTCCTTGTGACCCTGTGCACCATAGAACACCAATACTATCCATGGATTTCTTTCTTTCTTTCTTTCTTTCTTTCTTTCTTTCTTTCTTTTTTCTTTCTTTCTTTCTTTCTTTCTTTCTTTCTTTCTTCTTTCTTTCTTTCTTCCTTCCTTCCTTCCTTCCTCTCTCTCTCTCTCTCTCTCTCTCTCTCTCTCTCTCTCTCTCTCTCTCTCTCTCTCCTTCCTTCCTCCCTCCCTCCCTCCCTCCCTTCCTTCCTTCCTTCCTTCCTTCCTTCCTTCCTTCCAATTAAGGCAAGTAGAGAACGTTGAGGTTGGATTTGAACTCAGGTCTATCCTGACTCCAGGCCCAGCGCTCTATTCACTGAGCCACCTAGCTGCTTCCTAAGGTGCCACTAAAACATTCCCATGAGCGGAGAGGTGTATGCGCATGGTAAGGACTGGGTCCTCATGTCACCTTTGTGCTGTGCTGGTTTGGAGAGGGAAGTTGGATGGTACCCGCCAGACCTGGCCACTTCTTTTCTTCTACCATCGGGCAGGTCCTATGGAGTCATAGCCCTCGACTCCACCCCTTCAGAGTTTTCTCTGTGCTGGCTTTTGGAGAAGAGGGAAAACAAGAGAGACACAGGCCTCAACCTCCACCTACACAGCCATGGCAACTGACTCACCTTAGCCCCAAGGGCAAAAAACCCTGGTACACTTTGAGCTGCTAAGAGATATTTAGGAAGAAAATCAATAAATCCCAAACACTGATACTTTCTCTCATTTTCTCTGAGGCCCATTTAGGATAGAATCCTCACATTTCAAACAAAGAGTTGACCCCTCTGCCTCTCTCCATATACGGGTAAGTCACTGTCTCTCCTCTGCCACTCTTCCCCTACCCCGTTACCAAAGAATGAAATATGCACAGAAGCAGTTATTATCTGTTATCACTTTAGAGCTAGAGTGAGCCGGCTTTAAAGTGCTAATTAAATCAGGAATTACGAACAAACTTACAAGAACAGAGAAACGCTGGAGTAAACAGCTGTTGTCTGTGGCCAGAAGGAGAGACAGGAGGGAAGGCAAAGCACTTCATTATCTTAGGTCTCCAGGAGAGATGGGCCCCAAGCCTCAGTCCGTTCTTTCCATCCGCCTTCCTCCTGTTTGGATGGAGACAGCAGTCAAGGACAGTGCCCAGATCTAGCCTCCATTCCGGCCTTTTTGCTTGACTGGCACGTGCAATCTTTCTCTCCTTACAAAACCCCAAACCAAAGCCCCACATTCCAACCATTTGTTGCTGGGCAGTACTTACTCCATTCAACGCTCACCATAACCTCAAGGTCCCTCCCAGGACAGGAAGCAACAACTTGAGAACTACATTTCCCAGAAATTCCCACACCCAGGCTCCCTGCCTGCAGAAACCTGTCTCCAAAGGCCTACTACACTTACAATGGGTTTCAGCTGGTGAAAACTTGCACATTTGGAGACCATGATCACCAAGATAGGTAGGTTGACTTCCCAGGACTTTCTTCCCTGGAAAATGGATGGTGAACCCTGAAAATAAGCCAATACTTAGGGTGGCAAGGGGTACACAGAACCAGAGATGGGATAACAGGGCCTTCAAAGTAGCAAATGATTATGATAAGGGTGGGATGTAGGACTGGCCTCATAACTTGAGACACGTATTCATTGCTCCCATTCAGTGTTTTTTTTTTCCTTCATGAATTGATACTTCTAAAAGTGATGTAAGAAAGGATTACAAAAAATATTCATTATAACCAAGGTGGATTTATAACAGATATGCAAGGATGATTCAACATTGGAAAAATAATATCATTTTTGATATCAAAAAGAAAAAAATACCCTAAAACACACAGATCAATAAATGTAGAAAAACCTTTTGTCACAGTACAATACTCATGTATGTTAGAAACCCTACAAAATATAGGCATCAGGGGATCATTTTTACTATTATGAAAAAGTATACATATACAAGACCCAAAGCTGGCATTATTTGCACTGAGGAAACATAAGAAACTTTTGCAATAAACACAAAAGGGTAAAAGGCAAGGATATCCCCCTCTCCTCATTATTATTTGACCTGGTTCTGCAAATGCAAATGATTTCAATAAAATAAAAGAAAGAAATTAAAGGCATAAACATTGGCAATAAAGAGACAAAATTACCCCTATTTTCAGACATTGTAATGGTTTACTTAGAATAACTCAGAGAATCTGTAAAGTAACTACTTGGTACAATGCCCTCAGTAAAGTAGCAGGATACAAAGCAAACCCTCAAAATCACCATCGTTTCTGTAAAGCAACAACAAAATCCAAATAAAAGAAAGGGAAATCCTATAAAGGTAACTACAAAATGCACAAATATCTGGGAGTCAATCTACTATCACATTCAATATTTAGATAAATACATTTATCATTTGGAGTAATAGTCATTGTTTATATTCAATCCACTGGACAATGCCAATAAAATAAAAAAAATGATACATCTAAACAAGTTTAGAGATTTAGTGTTAAATCAACAAAAATACTGAGGGGATACTTTATAGAGGTAGATAAACTAATAACAATGTTCATTCAGTGAAACAATGGTCTAAAATGTTAAGGGACATCACTTTTTTAAAAAAGGAAGAAAGTAAGAATAGCATCATAATATAAAGAAGTAATCATCAAAACTATTTAGAACTAGTTAAAAATAGAAAGATAATGAGTTAACACAAATATATAAGAACAAGATCCATTTGCCAAAGAATAAGTGGTCAAAGGATAGGAATGCACAATCCTTAAGAGAAGAACTGAAAACCATCATAAAGACTATTCCAAATCACTAATAATAGAAATGTAAATCAAAATACCTCTGAGGTTTCACCACATACCCAGCAGACTGGCAAAGATGAAAAAAGATGGTGAGTAGGGCCACAGGCAATAGATGAACATACCCAGCCAGGAACAATGTCACAATTGATTCAATCATGGACCAAGGTTCCAAAACTTGAGTTGTCAAGGAGACGACCAGAGAGTAGGGAATGAAGGAAAGTAAAGGGCCTTGGGAGGATCAATTGAAGGAAATTGAGAGGTCTAACCTGGAAAAAAAGAGAGCCTCACAGGAAATCCCAGCTGTCGGAAAGAATCTGAAGGGCTGACTTGCGCCCAGAAGTCTATCTAGGCAGGGAACTAACTTTTAAGCCGTGTGACCTTGGCCAAGTCCCTTTCTCTCCCTGGGCCTCAGTATTCTTTTCTGTAAAATGAGGCGGTTGGACTGGATGACTTTCAAGGGCCCTTCCAGCTCTAAATCTGTCATCCTATCCACCAATTCAGCTCTAAAGATGTTCCTACAGAGGGCTATCAGTTCAATCAATTCCATCCCACCACTGCCTTTTTCTTCCCTGAATGGACTGGTTAATTTACAGACCCATCTGATGATCTTGGTGTTTTGGTAGCCTCAGACTTCAACACCCTGATTAAAAGTGAGCAGAAGCATAATACTCTGGTCAGCTCATGTTACCAACTGCTTTTTGATCAATAAAAGCACTCAGCATGGAGAGACTTTTGCTTGAATTTTAATGCAGGTTTAAGGATTGATTGCTTCTTTTCTTCTTCTTTTTCTTCTTCTTCTTCTTCTTCTTCTTCTTCTTCTTCTTCTTATTATTATTATTATTATTATTATTTTAAGATCTCTCCCTGTACAAAATCAAAATGGTGAAGTATAATTATATGAGCATTGTACTAGGAGTCTGGGGACTATAGGCAAGCCTGGCCTCAGGCTTCTTAGCTATAAAATGAAGGTGCTGGACTGACTAGATGAGCCTCTGAGGGTCTTTTCACCTCTCAGCCTATGATCCTATGCTTGCTCTCCCTGGTAGGTTGTGATTCCCACAGCTGGCTGGCACCATGGAGTAGTGGGGTGGGCCCTCACCAGGAAGCAATAACAGAGAGCTAGGATAAAGCTTAGGACCCAGCTGTTTAAGTTTTTATAAAACCAAGTTCATAGAATCTTTATAAAACATAAGCAAAGTGAGACCTTGGTTAAGAAATGCCCTTTATAAGAAATGAGCCTCATTCAAAACAATAAACTGTAATAGTAACTGACATTTACACAGCACTCTATGTTCACAAGGGTGGCTTTATCCTTTGTACCTGTATCCCCAGTGTCCAGCACAGGGTCCAGCACATAGTAGGTGCTTCATGAATACTTGGTTGTTTGACTGACTGGTGTTCTCTCATTTGATTTCTATAGCAACCCAGTGAGATAAGTGGTACCATTTCTCCCATTTAGTAGAGTAGAAAAGTGAGATTGAAAGTAGTTAAATGATTTATTCAGGTTTATACAACTAAGCTAGACAGTGTCTGGGGCAGGATTGGAACCCAGGTCTTTCTGAAGTCAAGTCTAGTGCTCTATCCACTATATCACACCACCTCTACCAAAGCAATACATCCATTCCCCCCCCCCAAAATAAAAGAAATACATACATCAAGTAAAGAAGGACAAAAAATATCTTGGGGAAAGATAAATGTAGCCCAGAGTCACATGACATTAGTGAGAAACCAAACTGGAGCCCCGGCCTCCTGACTAGTCAGTCATTGAGTGTAGACATCTGCTATAACCTATGAAGTGAAGATAGAGATTGCAAATGAATTTTACCTGAAACTTTTATGACAACCCTCCCCCTGCCAGACCTGGAGAGACCCCTCCCCTTGGGTATTCACCCTAGGGAATCCTGGGTGCTGCTCTGGTCACCCTGCCTCCAGGAGAACGAGCGAGAACCTGCAATGTGAAGAGTCTTGCGGCTCACACAAGGGAAGCCCCAAGTGGGGCCCTTCAGTTTGGGGGAAAGACAAACCCAGGAAACGCCGAAGTGACAGAATTAAATGCTGTCGCACACAGCAGGAGAAGGAGTCCTAACTGGGTTGCCAAATCTCCAAACCAAATCTTAGAACTAGAGGCAACACGGTATTGAGGATTAAGTGCCAGAATCAGAAAGACCTGGGTTCAGATCTTTCCTTAGATGCTAGCTGTGTGACCCTGGCCTCGTTACTTCACTCCTCCAAGGCTGTGATACCTTCTCTGTAAAATGGGGAGAATAAAAGCATCCACATCCCAGGGTTGTTGTGGGGATCAAGTGGAACAACACATGGGAGGTGCTTTGCAAACCTTACAATGCTGTATGACTCTAGCTATAATTGTTATAAAGACTGAGCTTTGAATGCTAACCTCACACACTTGCTAGTGGTGTCACCCTGGGAAAGTCACCTGCTTCTTTCTGAATCTTCTATAAAGTAGAGATCAAACTTCAAAGCTCTATATGGCAGCTATTAGGAAGGCCCCTAAGAGGCATGGAAGCAGCCCAAATGGGGGGCAGGGGCCATGCACATTTACTGTCACTCTATGGTAAGGAGAAGATCCTCTCATTGCCTCCCGCCATTTGTCCTTCAGAATCATCATCTGTCCGTCCATTGAGATGAGGACTGGAGTTAGACATGAGAACGAAGATAGCTGGCTCTAAATCCTGACTCTAGGCACAACCTGTGTGACCTGAGGTAAGTCTCATGACCCCTCTGGGTCTCGGTTTCCTCTCCTGTGAGATCAGAGGCTGGCCTAGATGGTTTCTGAAGTACCTTGTGACTGCCATTCTATGATTCGAGATGGGATCCATCTCATCAAAGGCTGAATGAATGGACTGGTCATTCATGCTGGAAAAGAGACTTGTTCAGGTGGATTAGATGGTCTCTGAAGTTCTATCCAATTCTGAGATTCTGTGAGACAGACTCCAGGGCTGGGCTTGGGCAACAGCACACATGTGAGCAGCTCTGTGCAGCTCAAGACCTAGGCTTTTTGTTACTCAGTATTGATCACATTGGGTTGACACAATGATTCCTGCTCCTGGCTAGCTGGACGACCTTTCCTTGTGAAAGGGATGCCCGGAATATCTCTCTACCAGCAGAGGACTTGATGCGCTAATGGTCTCTGGGACAACAGCGCATTTCACATGGTTCAAAAGGCAGCTGTGATGTCATAGATTTGGAGTCAGAGCACTTGTGTTTAGCTGCTGGCTCTGCCTTCTTCTACCAGTAGGACCATCGAGAAGTCCCGACATCCCCCGGTCTCAGTGTCATAATGAACTACATGAGGA